AAGTCACAGCATCCTGGCCCCAACACCCTGTTCTGTAAGATAAGATTGCCGGGTGGGGGGTGGGAAAGAAGAAGGTTGGCCTAGATGATTTTTAAGGTTCCTTCTAGCTTTAAATTTTCTTAACTAAGTGAAATGATTAACTGGTTTGAACCCCTGCTCACCTTTTCATATATGTGCTAAAATATGGTAAAATTCAGGAAGAAAAAAAAAAGAGAAGCAGGAAATCTGGATAACTTGTAACTAGATTGTCCACAAAGGTAGAAATTGTGAATTGGTTGTATAAATCTTGGCTTGGGAAAAAAAACCCAGAGAATAAAAAATAGTGTCATAAGCTACTTTGTTAAACACAAAGTGATATTTAAATATAAGATAATTAGTACATCAAAATAGCATATAAGTGAAAAGTTTTAAAAAGTCACACTGAGCTGCCAAAGGGAGTAAGACCCCTAGGGATCTTTCTGCTCAGGGAACCCAAAGTCCCCTGATATCTTCCTGGGTGTGTGTGTTTGCCCCACAATTTTAAATGATTGCTGTGGTCCTGTGATACTAGCTCAGGAAGGATAAGTCATGCCAGTGAAGGGAAACCTCAAAGCAATTAGAGCACTTTGTTAACTAAGACAGAAAAAGCTGAAGACATTAAAAAAAAAAAAAAAAGAAAAACCCTGTCCAAACACCTGATCTCTACTTTGGTAACTTCGATCTTGGGGTGATAAATTTGTGTTGCTGCAAATAATTGGCATTTCCATAAAAATTCCTTTTCTTGAAAAGCTAGAAGAATTTAGGTGCTTTTCAATTGGGAAATATATGCTCCTTCATTTTATTTTCTTTCAAAAATACATCTCCAAATGGTAAAATGTCTTCAACAGGTGACTGGTGGACATTAAAGAGTGAAATTTCATTGTGACACAGCATGTCTTCCATTTGCTGTAAGCAAACAGCCAAGACCTTTATTGCCCTTGAAATTTGTACTCGTGACAGGGTAGAGGAAGAGGAGGAGGGAGTAAAATGCCAAGTTTCTGTGGGTCACAGTTCCTTCAAGCACTGTATGTTAATCAAAAACTCAACCTTGGTTAATTATGCAAGTATATTGGGAAGAACTTTGGAACAGATGATTGCCGAGAGTGGCTGCAGAAATTGGCAGCATTTCTCTCTACATGTAATAATACCCTTGTTTCCCACCTGGATGTAGGTTCTAGGTTGGCCTGGGCTGCCACGGGGATTGTGGGGAAGAACTGCAAGTGTTTTTCTTACCCAAGCCTCCTTTTCTTCTATCTGTTGTGCAATTTATCTATGGCACCACTAACCACCGTTAACTTATCACTACCATTTATTCAGGCTTGGGTAGTTTACAATTTACAAGGCTTGCTGAAAAGTAATTTCAAAAGTTGTCAAGTTCTATATAATCTTATTGAGTGATTTGAAAATAAAACTGAATAGATCTGCTAAGGATTTTCTCAGCAGATCACATCCCATCTGTTTGAATAGGAAGAAAAGTTACTCTTAAATATGTTTAAAGCTCAACAAACATTATAGATAACCAGCTCAGTTTCCTAAGATATCTTTGAAGGCTGTTTTTTTGAGAACTGCCCTGAAGGTCATAGTGAAGAAATGTAAGATAGCCCTTTGAGGGGTTGGGAGTGGAGGAAGGAAGTATAAAATGAATATATGTATGTAATGCTCTTTATTTTCCTTGATTTTTTTTTTAAAGAATGTTTCCTAGCTTGCTTGAAAATGAGTGGTGTTACAGAATTAGCAAACAGAAGTGACCTATTTTCTCTGTGCCTATCCACGTAAGCCAGTGGAAATGTTTCATTTCCCATACTGAGGTTAGGTCTCCTCCCTTGGAACTACCCCAAAAACGTGTAGTGATAATAATGAAACATTGTAATTTTATATCCTCATACTTTCCCCTCCCCCCAACCCCATTCACTTAGTAGTCGTTAATTACTTACCCTGCTTCTGGGTCAATGTTATTATCTTTTCCATTTCACAGTTCAGGTAGCAGAGGTACAAGGTAGACAGCATGTCAGTGAGTTCTGGATTCTCAGGGCACTTCGTTCACTATATCAAACTCAGGCTCGTCTTCAGAGAAGGATCAGGTGAAATGATTCCAGGGGTTGTGAGAAGTTGATGTTGTATAGCACCCACACTCCAAGCAGCAGCCAGAGACACATAGGTATTCTGTTTTTCTAGAATTACATCGCTAGTCATTCTGGGGTTTTGGTTTTTATTTTTTTATTTTTTATTTTTTTTTTAGGCAATTGGGGTTAAGTGACTTGCCCAGGGTCACACAGCTAGTAAATGTCAAGTGTTTGCTCTGAGGCTGGATTTGAACTCAGGTCCTCCTGACTTAAGGGCCAGTGCTCTATCCACTGTGCCACCTAGCTGCCCCTGGGGTTTTGTTTTTAATTTAAGGGGCCATAGCATCCTATACATCTCTGATTAAGAACAAATACTACCCCAGGAGCAAGTCCATAACAGAGGAGCTAATAGAAGCTTTAAAAGAGTGTGTGTGTGTGTGTGTGTGTGTGAGAGAGAGAGAGAGAGAGAGAATACCATACACGTGTAAAATATATGGAGAAGATTAGGGACTGGGTCTATGATTTTATTTGTATAGAGAATTCTTAGGTGAGGAAACTCCCTTCTCTGCACCTCAATGGTTTTAAGATAATTTCTAAGACAGAGAATTTGAGTGATTTGTCCAGGAGGCACCCAGCCAGGATGGGTGGAGGTATGACTTCAACCAGTTCTTGTTGGGTCCACTGCCAGCTTTGACTTAGTTATAAAAAGTACTATTATCTATATTTTATTGTAGTTTGATTGATTGATTTTTTTGCAAGGCAGTTGGGGTTAAGTGATTTGCCCATGGTCACACAGCTAGTAAGTATCAAGTGTCTGGTCTGGTCTGAGGCTGGATTTGAACTCAGGTCCTCCTGACTCCAGGGCCAGTGCTCTATGCTACATACAGCACCACCCAGCTGCCCCAGTTTGATTTATTTTGTTAAATATCTCCCAGTTATGTTTTAATCTGGTTGGTTCCCCTTAGGAGTATTGTGACCCAGGGATGCTGATGGGAAGATGGAGAAGTCCAATGACTTTTGGAACCATAGAAACTCACAAGGTTCCCTAGTTGCCAAAGGGGAAGGGGAGGGAAGGTTTAGCCAAGGTCAATTTTTCTCCCCACCTGAGTTTCACCTCCCTCCTTAGTGTCAAGTTTAACTCAAACCTCTTAAATGACTCCATTCACAAAATTTTTTTTTAACATTTTTTTGGGAGGGCTAAGCAGTGGGGTTAAGTGACTTGCCTAGGGTCACACAGCTAGTGTTATGTGTCTGAGGTCATATTTGAACTCAGGTCCTCCAGAGTTCAGGGCCAGTGCCCTATGCACATTCACATCTTTTTTGAACACTGTGTGATCAACCGTCCTTGATCTATCAAAATACTGTTCCCTCCAGGAAAATCCAATTCCTACTTAGTCTAAAGTATATGACTCAAATTGGGCATTTTATTTCTTACTTTAAGTGGGTGGGATGACTTAATTGAATTAATCACTCAATCAATCCCACCCTTACACTTAAATGCCACTGTACAATTGTTCTCCTATATCTGGTGGCCACAAAATCATCAAAATTTTTCTGAAATTTATTTCTCTGGCAGTCTGCAAATGAATGTGGTTTTAATGATCTTTATGAGTTTTGATTTCACCAGGTAGAGACTTAAACAAAATGAAATCAATATCCTTTTCCTGTTGGAAGTTGTCATTCTGGTCCACAAGAGCTATATACAAATTTAAGAAAGAAGAGCAGAAGTCTTTATTCAGAGAAAATGTATTTTAGGTGATTCTTGAATTAATGGAGTCTTTTTGAGATTAGTTGTCTTGGGTCCTTCTGAATGTTTAGAACTGGGATTCAAGCGCCAGGAACTAAAACCAGTGGAGCGCAATGGAAGGTCTAAGGGAAGAGCTAGAGTGGTCTGCATGGGATCTGGAAAATGTCTAGTCTGGGGCAAAAGTTCTAGAAACTGTACAGTTCCATGTAAAACCAAGGAATGACATCATCACACAAAACAGGGCAAGACCCTAGCATCTAAATCCAAGTCTTCCTTCTCCTTCTACAGAATATTGTTTAGTGGTCATGGAGGTTATTAATTCATCTTTTTATCTGCTCTATATGTTTTGTGCCCCAGGAGGGCTTTCTGTGATGTGCTTATTCTCTAGGTATCACATAGTCTCAGTCACATCAATTGTCTTTGAACGTAGCTGTGGATGAAATATCACAAAAGAGCAAGCCACACAGTTACATGGACTTATGACCTCACTGATTTGGGAATTACCTTCAGGGATGCAGATTATAATCCATTCATACCTGTCCATCTTGTCAGACTCTCATCCATCTTCCAAAATTTCTACACTACAGCCCCACTCAGTGTTGGAGTTCTTCTGTCACTTCCCAGGACAATCTTCAGAGTATCAATGTAGCATGCTAGCTGTCCACTGGTCATCCTTGTTGCAGCCATGTGAACAGGCCATCTTCTCTTTTTGTCCCACAGCTCTTTAATGACATACTTGACTCTCCTTTTTTCTAGAGTGTTCATCTTTGGTTATGTGCTGAGGCCTGCTCACCCCCAACATGCCTTTACTCTTTCCATTGCCTATTTGTAATGTTCACTTTTATTTCTTTGCAAGCTACCATACCTCAACTAGTGAAGTGTTTATATAGGGAAAACAAAATGTACTCTCACAGTTACTGAAAGTTTGGGGTCAGCAAAAGTACTTTACAATTTCCTGAAAGCAACCCAGCCTGCTCACCTCCTTTTTCAACTCTAGGCCCACCTCACTGTTCAATCTTTGTTGATAGATGTACTGCTGGAAAAGCTATGGTGGTTCGTTCAGATGCAGGTTGAAATCTGGGCAATTGACATTCTTTGAGCAATTGCAGATGTCTACCTTGAAGCTCTGCAAAATTTGATGCAATCAACATAATGCTATCCCCCCCCCACAGGAGCATCTGGAGGAACCTACTATTCACAGAGGCTCCCTGCTTGATCCTCACTCTGCCCAGGATCTCCTCTATCTCAGAGGCAAATATTTTTGGTGAGTATATATCTCCCTGTATTACATCTCATCTGATGTTTGTTATCCGAGGGTCATTGAAAGGGCTTATTTTGAGGCAGGTAGGTGAAGCAGTGGAGAGAGCACCAGCCCCGGAGTCAGGAGGACCTGAGTTCAAATTTGGTTGCAGACAATACTAGCTGTGTGACCCTGGGCAAGTCACTTAACCCTGATTGCCTTCAAAAAAGGGGGAAAGGGGGATTTCTATATTAAATCCTCCAGAGAGTTTTGAATGTTCTTGATGAATGGATGGGAAAGACCTTGTAAAGGGCTGCTTATTTGAGGGATTTGGCTGGGGGTGGGGGGTGGGGGTGGACAGTAATCAAGAAACAATAAGGGTGACAAAAATCTTATGGTCTTTGCATCTTTCCAGTTTGCTCAAATTAAATGGATCTGAAATACATACAACTTTTAAATTTCTCCACATAACTTTGTATGGGGGTTCTATTTCGTAGAGACTAATCCTAAAATTAAGAGATTTGTCCCTCCCTCTCCCCATGAGAGACACTTGCCATATTTCTTTAAACCCTGGTCCTACAAGTGGTGTTAGAATTGTTATTGCACTTGCTGAACTCACACAAGAAGCTCCTGCAAATACTGTAAAAAAAAAAGACAAAGTCAGCTTAGATTTTGCTCAGATTTTTAAGCAATGTAAATCTAGTTAGGTTAACAAAAATGTTCCCATTCTTTTCCTCTGCTTCCTTTATTTTAATTACCTATAATTTGTCGGGGGAGGTGGGTTGGAGGACCGGTTGATACTGTGCTTTACTCCCCCTCCCAAAGACTATTGTGGAAACTAACCTGATATGTAAATTAACGGAGATTAGGAGGCTAGCTCTCCTTGAGGAGGTCGCCTGACCCCGTAGCCAGCGGTTGGACCCACGGGCTATTTTGGTGATTCCAATCCCCAGGGGAGTGTTAGCTCCTTAAGAGCCAAGTTTTGTTTTTTGTGTCTTTGTATTCCTGGTACTTAGCATTATAGCTGGCGCATAATAGGCCGTTAATAAAATCTTATCGAATTGAATACAGCAGAACCTTAATGCATTATGCAGTCATCTTCTGTGTTGTAGAAAATATCCCATGGGCAAAAGCTGAGGTGCTTTTGTTCAGCCACAGTCTTTAACTGTAAGTTCACAAGAGCGATTTTAATTTGTCACCATTTGTAATGCTGTCCCTAACTTTGCCCGAGTCAAAACTGAGTTTCAGGGATCAAATTCCAAAAGATTCATTGAAAATGACCCAACACTTCTTTTCACCAGACCTAGAATCTTCTTATGGTTGGGGGGAGGGGGGCAGGGAGTTTCTCATTGAAAAGTCTGTCTCGAATTCTGGCAACCCAAAGGGAAGGACAAGGGGGAGTTGTTGGAGGAAGATTCTACAGCTCCAGCAAAAGAAAGATTTGCTAGAGAAAGAAATGAAACATTTCTGAGCCATACATAGTTATTTAGTAAGTTCTAGCTGATGTCAACAGTGTGAGAGGGGATGGTTAGACTTCTTTTGTTGTTATTGTTGTTGTTTGTTTTGGTGAGGCAGTGGGGTTAAGTGATTTGCCTAGGGTCATATAGCAAGTGAGTATCATGTGTCCAAGGTCGGATTTGAACTCAGGTTCTCCTGACTCCAGGGCTGGAGCTCCATCCACTGTGCCACCTAGCTGCCCCATGGTTAGACTTCTTTAGGGCTCAAAAAATAAACACGCACATCATCATCCTTTCATACTCAAGCTGAAGGAAGCCTCTTGACTACCATAGAAACGAGGAAACCAGAGCCCCAAAATAGCAATGTGGCTGGTGGCTGCCACTTAATAAGCATTTCATAGGGCCATATGATTTAAAGTAGAAAGACTCTTAGAGGTATTCAGTTCCAATTCCCTTGTTTTACAAATGAGGAAACCAAAAGTGTGGTACTTGAGTTCTAGAGCTACAATAGAATCTAAACTTCTAAAGGTATGGATTACTCAAATTCCATCAATCTTTGCAGTCTAGGCAAGGTCTCCTACATATCTGTTTCATTTGTACAAAATGTTTTGTCTCCTTCGATGAGATGGTAAACACCCTGAGAGCAGGAACCATGTTTTAAGTTACCGTTGTATTTCCCATAGTCCCTAGTCTGGGGCTGGCATAAAGTAAGTGCTTAGTAAATTACTTGTTGGATTGAGTTAAATTGAGCGGGCTTGTAGTAGAGCATGTTAGAAATTGTACTGAATTATGATGCTACTGTTTACTCTAAGTCATGTGTCCATTTGTGACTCATCTTGAAATATGTTACAAGGTGTTGGTCTAAACCTAATTTTTGCCAAACTAATTCCCAATTTCCTAACAGTTTGTAGAAAATTGAGTCCTTACTCCGGTAGTTCAGATCGTTAGATTATTGAATATTGTGCTGTCATGTTCTTTTGCTTCTATATGTTGTGTATATAATCAAGTTCATTGTTCGACCTCTCTTTTTTAGTAGTATTGAGTAATTTTGATGGTTACTGCTTTGTAGTATAGTATGAGGTCAGGAACTGGCTATTTTCCAGGCTTCTTATTCTTTGCTCCCCTCCATCTATGCTATGATTCACCAACACTGGCCTTCTTGTTGTCCCTCCCAGAGGACACTCCATATGCTTTTTCACTGGCCATCTACCAGCTCTGGAATGTTCCCCCTCCTCACTTCTACCTCCTAGATTCCCTGGCTTCCTTCATGACTGCTCGAATTTCACCTTCTGCAAGAAACTTTTCCTGCCCCTTCCCCCCCTTTGATAATTCCCTCTGTGATTACCTTCCATGTATATAATATAAATCTTGTATCTATACAATTACTTGTATGTTTTCTTCTCCCTATTAGATGTGAGCTTCCTGAGGCGAGGGTCATTTTTTTGTTGTTGTTTTGTTTTGTTTTTTTCTTTGTATCTCCAGCACTTAGCACAATGCATGGCACGTAGTAAGTGCTTAATAAATGCTTGTTGACTAATTCTATTTATTCTATTTATTGGGAGATCAGCATGTACGTGTGTTAATTAAGTTGATACAAGACAAATACAAAATACAAGAAAAACTTTTTTTGGAGGGGGGTGAGCGAATAATAGCTGGAGGAGATTGTGAAAGTCCTCTCATGTTAGAGATGGCATGTTAGTCACCTTGAAGGAAGCTGGAGGTTCCAAAGGTATATACATAGAGGTGATGAAGAAGTATAGATATGGGGGATGACCCATGCAGGGCCTTAGAGAAGGGGGAGACACAGTAGGCTACTTTGGCTGGAAAGATAAGTTGGCTCCAAATTGTGAAGAAATTAAAATACCAAGTTTTTGTTCGTTTGTTTTATAAATCCTAGAGGCAAGAGAGAATTACAGAAGCTGTGACATTTATCAAATTTAAGATTTACTCTGCAGTAGAGAAATTGGTAGCCTTCTGTCCAGAGTTGCCTAGTGGTCATAATGCTGAGCTAACTAGGGACACCCAGAGGAGGCTAGAAGATGCTGTTGATGCTTAGCCATTATAGCTTGCCCTGAAATCCTGAGCCAGCTCTTAGAAGGGCAAACACCTTTCTGAAAAGTCACCCAGGGCTGATAACTGTAGTTCAGAGGGACAGAATCCCATGTTCTTTATACTTAAAGTATCTGGAGGGCACATACCTGTTGCTGTTGGTATGGACCAGACAGGAAGTGACCTGTTTGCTTCAACTCCCTGGTATATTCCGTCCTTTGTATGTTTGGAGACACCACAGAGGAAGGCAGGAACAACATGATATTTGTTAATTTCCATGTTTTGACTCTTTGAGAGATCTTTTGCTGACTGAACAGAGGGTTCCTAACAAGCCACTCCAAGTAGACTCCCAGAAAATTGTTAAGCAAAACCACCTAGCAACACCTGAGACATTTACTTTCGGAGATTAGGTTTTGGAACCCAATCTCTCTGAGTTCTGTCTTGGCTCTATGATTTAAGAAAGTCTCAGTATTTTGTACTTCATCATTCTCTCCATGCAGACCACAGAAATATGTTTGAAGTCCTGAAAATAAGGAAATCCAGAGAATAATCTTTGTGCATTTAATACTCAAGAGGGCAGAGATGAGAGGCTTATGGCCATCTCATAGAGATTGTGGACAGAGCTGGAAGGGACCTGGCTTCTGTCCAGCCTCTTCACTTAACAGATAAAGATACTAAAGCCCAGAGAACATAGTTGCCTTGCATAGAGTTACACAGGTAGTTTAGTGGCAGAGCCAGGATTTGACCTCGGATCCTCTGCCTTCAAACCCAATTTCCATTCGACTCCTTCATGCTGCCTTCTCTTCCCTCATTCCTTCTCTAGCTGCTAGCTGGAGGGAGGGACAGGGATAGACAGGCTAAAATGCAGGGATTAGGAGAGACTGGGAGAAGCTGAGCTATAAAGATTCCTGAACTGGTTCTGGTGTCTTCACTCAAGCACCAGCTCAGATTGGTGGGAGGGCCCTATGCAGACTTGCAAAGCAAGCTGTTTTCTTCATGGAATCTTCTAGCATTTATATAGTGCTTTAAAGCTTTGCAGAATACCTTACATTTATCTTCACCTGAGAGGAAGGGGCGACTCATCTTCATTTTAGAAATAAGGAAACCTAGGCATAGAGGGCCTAAGTGACTTGTCTGTAGTCACATAGCTAGTAAGTGTCAGGCAGGATTCAAACTCAGTCCTTCCTGGCAAGCACTCTATGCCCCCTGCCTCTTAACTGCCCTCCCTGAACCCATTTTTCACCTCCTGTTTCCTCTTTCGTGTCCTACAGTCACTCAACCCAGCCAGACCTACCTTTAAGCTCCAATTTTCCCTTCCTTGTCAGTGCTGACAAGAAAGAAAATGTCAGTCCAGGGTGCTTACCAGGATTTAGATTGACTTATGTGTTTGTCTACTTCTTGATTAAAGTTATTAATTCCTAACTAAGATGTGAATAAAGCTATAGTATTGTGTAGACCAGAGGTGATATAGGCAAACTAGGACTGCGGCCCTATTGGATGGATTTGTGAAGTCCTGTA